TCCCAAAACCCACATATAAACTACGCTCGTGGTTCGTTCTTTATACCATAAGGTACCTTCTTTTAGAAGATAAAATCAGTAATAATAACAATAAACATATATTTTGCAATCGTATATTTTCAAAAATAGTAGTATAGTATTTTTTCTTAGTCATGACAATGCGCTTAATCTCTCACAATTCATCTCAAATTTGTATTGTTATTTTAGAATATAATATTATTACTATATTACACTTTTGGTATTTTCCCTCTCTCTTCAACAGAAAGTTTGATCATTAGAATAAATAGTTGATATTATAACCGTCTACTTAATTCTCACAAAAGACGTGCCGAAATATGGAGCGTACTTAGTTTTTAAAGAACCGCTAACTCATCATTATCCACAAAAAATATGGCGAGTAAACGAAGATGCTAAAAAATCAACAAGAATATAAATCCGTTAAAGGACTCTTGAACAAAAGTCCATTGAAGAAAGAGAGTCAGGTGCTTAACTCTGACCCTCGAGCTCTGTGTCATTGAATTTGGTTTCAGTAACATTATTAAATTATAAAATAGGTCATTGGGTTCTATGGGAACTTGCAAAATATGGTAATATTTCTTTTATCAATTTCGCGATTTTATCATAAATTTGTAATGAACTTTTTCAAAGTTACTCGAAAATTTATTGTTCAAACACATAAACTTCTAATAATATGAACTTTGTATTAAACGCTTATACTAATTGAAGATTATTTAGTTTATATGTGTTATCATATCCATTGTGTCATGTAATATCATTAATTATTTAAATACACCATTATCATTGTTAATGGCTTAATTGGTAGCAAACATTAAGCTAATGTTTTAAAGATAATTAATTTTTGGTTAATAAAATACTATGATATTACCTGTTAGACTCTCATATTAATTGTCATTTATTTAGACAAATAATGAATACTAGTAAAAAATATTCATACAATATTAGTACTCGAAAAACAATTCAATTTCAAAGAGAATAGAATAAGTTTTGATCAAAAAAACATATACTATGTTACGTTTAATATTATTTTTCAATTAACTTATGAAAAATCACTACAAATTGTATAATGTTATATTTTCAAAAATATTATATTTGTTGAAGTGTAAAAAGAAGATTTTATTTGTTAAGAAGAGCTTTATTAATATATTTTTTATCACTATTAAGATAATTATTAAAATCAATATAAAACTTTTTCATAAACATAAATAATCAATAACATACTTGTATATTGTGTGAATGTTTGAAAATAAGACGCTCATTTCATCAAAAACTACTGAATATTTTCAAATTTTTTTAAGAGAAATAATTTGATTCAAGAAACTGTACATTATTATGTAATGAAATAATTATTTTTATCTTTTCATGGATAAAAGATCTAAACTTAATTTTTCTTAAACGGAAATCACAATTTTTAGTTTGATGATATGATGAAAAAAATCTTATCAAATAAAAATTATAATAAAAATGAAATTTTTTTCTTCTATTATATCATTAAACTAAAAATGGGGGTTTTCATTAAAGAAAATTAAAGTTTTTATCCCTGAAGAGATAAAAAAATAACGATATAACTACATATTATTATAGTGTTTCTTGTATCAAACAATTTTTTCTTTTAAAAAAATTAAAAATTTTTAATAGTTTCCGAGAAGTTGAGTGTTTTTTCATAATTCAATCATTTTTTATACAGATTAGACTGACTTTTGTGATCGTTAATAATTATTTACTCAATTATGAAACATGACATCTTCTATTTTATCGTAAAACTTCAATTATGTTTAACCAATTGTAACAATATTGGCTTGTATCATATTTTTTTTAGTTAATTGAAAACAAATTAATTGTGAAACGAAGTGATAGCGCAGAATCCGCTTATTTAATGGTCCCTAAATGTAAAATAAGTGATATACAGAATAATTACCAAGAGAAAAGTATCTAATCTTAATTGTTCTTTTAGTTTATTATAGAACATAATTCTTAATTATAGTATTTAAACTTAATGGGAACTGGATTATTTTATGTTTGAGATCCCATCAAAATGTCTCCGACTTATCGTTTAATTTATATTTCTTATAAAACTAATATTATTCATTACATTAAACAATTTTTATCCGTCTTGTGATGTGTTATATTTAAATAAAACTGTAATTAATAAAACTTTTCTATATAAATAATATGTCAAGCATACATATATGTAGGTATGCAGTGGCGGCTCGTGGTTTGAATAGGGACGATCGCACTCCCTACTAAAATTAATTAAAAGAAAAAAATTAATTGTACATTCTTAATTGTACATTTTTATTAAAAATGCAAATTTTTAGTAGTTATAATACATTTGTTGTGTACGAACATTAAAGTTGTTCCCTCAGAATATGCAGATACGCATACACACACGAGCAGTGTTTGGCCGACCAGCAGCGTCGTCCATACGGTAAAATATTAGTATATTACTATTAAGGGTAATTTATTTTTAGAATTAACTGCTTGTCGTTATCGGTTGCTATTATAGTATAGTCGCTATTATAATTATTGTTATTATTTTCCTTTCTATTTTCTACTACGACCTTTAAAATAATAATAAGTGTATTGTGTTTTGTTTTATTATATTAATTTGACAATTTTTTAAATCTATGACTAGAGGTAATATATTTAATGTCGCATCACCACTATCAGCACCCACGAGCTGCCACTGTATGTATGTATATACATTTCATAACAATTTAATATCGAAAATTAGACGTGGGAATAAAATTAAGAATAAGGTTCAATTCATTGAACTTCTTTAATTATGTTTATAATAGAAATACTTGGATTGTTTTGTAATATGTCAACATAATACTTGGAAAGATTAAAAACAAACTGTTATTTTGTATGAATACAATCAGTCTTAATTTTGTTGCATTAAGTTATATTGATATATATATATATATACAGGGTGATTTTTTTATCATAACCCACTCAATTACTTGCAGAATAATAATAATTTAAACATTTTTTTTTTTATTATCTTTAGTTACACATTATTCTTGAATTTTTAACTATGTAATACTTTTTAAGTTCATCCCTTATGCCTTGGAGGGGGGTCAACTTTGTTTTTTTAAATGGTAACACATATTTTTAATTTAATAAAATGTTTGAGTTTTTAATTTAATAGTAAATGGCATTTGAATTTTTAATATAACTTTATTAGCTTATTAGATATAAACATTTAAAGTTTCAACATTTTGAGTTAATATACATGTATAATACACATGTGATTGTAAATACAGGTAGCTAATTGGATTTTTATGACGTTGCTGTCTCAGTCACGGATTGTTTATTATCAATTATGAATATCAATAGATATACTTTCTGTATTGTCAGTTAGTGTATTTATAAACTCATAACAATGTGCCTTACTACAATTGATAATAACAATGCTGTGTACCTGCTAATATCGATGTTATAAAAAACCAATTAGCTACCTATATTTGTAATCCCTTGTGTATTATACCTGTATATTAATTCAAAAATTTGAAACTTTAAATGATTATATCTAATAAACGAATTAAGTTATATTAAAAATTCAAATGCCATTTACTATTAAATTAAAAACTCAAACATTTTATTAAATTAAAAATATGTGTTACCATTTAAAAAAACAAAGTTAACCCCCCTCCAAGGCATAAGGGATGAACTTAAAAAGTATTATATAGTTAAAAATTCAAGAATAATGTGTAACTAAAGATAATGAAAAAAAAAAATGTTTAAATTATTATTATTCTGCAAGTAATTGAGTGGGTTATGATAAAAAAATCACCCTGTATAAAAATAGTTTATCAATCCAGGGGAATACATCAATAATTTGACAGTACTGCAAGACTCTCAAAAATAATTTTATTATTATTCTACGATAGTTTTCCTATTTCAGATAACTAATAAAAAATGTTACCCTTTTTGTTTGTTACTATCAAATTAACTTAATAACAATAGTATAAATCGGGAAAATATATTATTTAGAAAGGAAGTCCAGACCACATAGATCTTCCGAGTACGGAACTGTACATAAGCGAAATAATAATCGTACCAAGCGCATGACTATTGACATTCATCTGTAATTTTAATTATTGATATGGTTGTTTTTTATATCCAATTAAGATACTCACTATTTGCATAACATTTTCTTGTACTAGAAATAACAATAGATTTAAAATATGATTATTTTTCATTAGCACAGAACATACATTAAAAATCTTAATTGTGTAAATGACAAAACATACTTTTGCTAGATAATCTTAATTTTAGTGTAATCGCCCGCATGCTTTTCTCGGTAGTTTTGTGCATTACGGTTTCGTTCAACTGTTCGTAAACTAAGTATGGCCATGCTTATCTTATAATTTGTGAAACTTTCTGAATTTCTTAATTACAGAAAAACTAACAAAAATGATTAAAATTATGACATCAATCCGGTGAATTTTCTTTTTGATTCTACAGAAAATTTGATCTGATCATTTATAATAATTATGGACTTGGTGTTACACTTTTTTCTTCGCCGATATTCTGATTTAAAAATATTTCCATTGAGTTTTTTCTCAGTTTAAAACTTCCTCTTTTTTAGATTAAACTTATTTTAGATTTATAATCATTTTTTTAATAACCATTTATGTTATCATTAATAGTTAATATACATTTTAAAAATGTTTACTGCACAGTTACATATGTTGCAATGTTACGCAAAGCTATTTTTAGTAACTATCTTACTATTACATAACTCTGCGTTATAATGTACACTCTGTCATTTTACATTTCTAGGATTTGCTGTCTTTTACATTATTCAAATGCATTACCCATACAAAATTCCTTTTATCCATTTTCTGAGTAAATGTACTGAAGTGTATATATTACCTTCGTTTCTCAATATAAATAATCTGGAACTTGATCTTATGTAATTTTCATTGTTATGCAACAGTATTGTAATAATAATTATTTATTTTTTATTATATAAGTTTTTTTTCAGGAATTAAAAAATGCATTATTACTTGTTTAACTTCAATAATAATTTCACAACGGTCAACTTCCAAGAAATAAATAAAGCAATAGCAAGTTCATCGTTCATTAATTGTTAAAACTTTAAATACTTAAGGTAAAATCATTATAATTTACATTCAGTATAAGAGTTTAACTTTTTTTTTAGTATATTGGCTATTTTTTTAGTATATTGGTATACATAGTCGATTCAATAAAATTTTATAAATTAAAAAACTTCATTTTAATGATGATTTTTGTTTCTATGTGCCAACATGAAAATTTCAGGTTTACCATATAGTACTAGAATACCAAAACTTCACTATTTAAATACATTAGTAAACATTAAATTTATTTTTATTTTAACAATTATTCTTCAAATTAAAAAAAAGGTTATTTTAACATTAGATTGATCATTAGATAGAATGATCATCCAACTGAGAGCTAGGTTGGATTAGCGTCATTTACCACAATTTTTCTTTGTTTTTTATTGCGATTATGGTGTACCATTTTTAAATTGGATTCTTGATAAGATTACTAAAACACTAACAAAAATACATTTTTGATGTAACCATCAAAATGATATTTTTTAAACATTGTTATAATTATTATTTTTTTTCAATATTTTATTGTATTCATTTAAGAGTAATGTCAATATATTTAATATAATTTAAAAATTAAAAAAAATTATAAATAATTAAATATTGAAAATAAATGTTTACAGGTTTTATTTTATCATTTTTTTTTGTATGAAATCATTATGACAATTGGTATGTTATCCTGTAATTCTACATCGCCTTACTACTCTATATCTTCTAGTGGTAAGAATATTTTAACAATATATTTTCCTTGTACTTTATTACTATAATATCACTTTAATTTAACATACTTGTGAAAATATTACTAATTTTCTATAAAACGTAGTTAAAAGAGTGAAAAAAATTATTCATTCAGATCATACATATCGTCGTTTATATTGTAACAATATGTTAAAATGATATTTTTGTTTATATACCATAACATAAAATTTTGATTACAGTTAACTAACAAAAATTAAATAAATTAACATGGTTCATTAAAATTTACATCCATGCATCATGAAAGAGTCCATATAGTCTTAGCTTATTAATTAATTATTAGAGAAAAGAGAAGAATGCAAAAAAATGTGTTGTCCCTTTTTTTTCAACATAATCTCTCACATCTTTTTATTACTTCATCTATGATACCACTTCATCATTTTACTCATCACAAAACAATTTAAAAGGTATCATCCGATACTGTGTACGCATTATGTGTTTACAATATTTAGGTTATTTTATATAAATGTACCATTACAGCGTATCTCAGATTTTCTAGATTATCATGATTATCAAACAAATAAATTTTAACTATAAGTCTCACAAAAAATATGTAGAAAAACTTCTTTTATCATTATTGATAAAAAATTCATTTTGTCAAATTTTGAGATACGTAGTATTGTTTAATCATTAATATACTTCTATATACTGTTCGATTAAAATGTTTAAAGGTAAAGTGTATAAAAGTTGGTTATAAAAATTTGTGTGTATATATATATATATATATATTGAATGTAATTACATTACAAATGAAATCTAGTCTCAGCAATACTAATACTTGTATAGTTCCTCCTTTTTATCTAAAAAAAACGATACAATTTAAATCTTCATAATCCACGTCTATAGAATGTATACTACATATACAATGCATATATTCTATTAAAGTTTACAATATATTGACATTGACTGTAAATACATATTTATTGTACACGATATTTCAAAAGTCATTTGTCAATTGAAGAATAATGTATGTACCTTACTTTATCTGTGTAAAATCAATCAACAGAATTAAAAAAACAAGGATAAAACAAGAATAACTTCTACTAACCTTTTCAGTCAGAATTTTCAACCCTCTCTTCAATTTTTTTTTTTGAAAATACGCCACTGGTTATTAATAATATAAATAATAGTATTAAATATATAATATTTTTTTCATCAAAATACTATTATAGTAATATTTTATTTTATTAGAACAGTATTGTGATTGGTCTTTCGATGAAAAGATATGTTGGCCTTTAGCTAAAGCAGATACAGTAGTATCATTACCCTGTCCCAAAGAACAAGGATTTGACATAATGAGTAAGTAGTTTAATTTGCTTAGTACAACTCGAATAGTTTTATACAGTTTAAGTTTATAGTGATTATGTATACATTTAATGTGGGCACTTCAACTTTATAACTCTTGTTGAGCACGTTTTTTATTACGGTTAATTATATAAAATAAAACAAAAACAAACCATTATAGAACAAATTTATACAGGAAAACCCTTTTAATAATATAGATACTTTTACAAAAGGCAGTTATTTACATGTTATTAACATGTAATATTAGCCTGTTTTTATATTCATTTATGGAGATTAAAATTTAATAAGTTTTTAGAATAATTCAATTAAAATTAAATTATTCAAATTCACATGATAGTAATTTCATCCATTATTGAAGCAATATTCAACAAATATTATATCGGCAAATAATGTGATGTGATGGTAAGTCCACTATAATTACTTTCTCATTATAAAGTCAGCAAATATTTAAGAATATGAAAGAGAGTTATGTCATAAATAAACACATTTAAATACCACGAAATAGAAATATGTAATGTTGTATTTTTCCATTTGTATTAAATGCAACAATAATAATAAATAATTATATTTGCTCTATTTCAAATAATAATAATTATAAATCTACTCTATGATTAAATAAAGGTTTTTTCTTAATAATAAGTGTTTAATCACTAATGAGTCCTTCAAAGACTCTACATATCGAACAATTATAAAAATGTATATTATATTGAAGATTGCACAAAAAGTGACTAAAGAAACTATTATAATGTAACTGTTAAACTGTAAAAATTTAAATTATATATCATTTTAACTGATGAAACCGGTACTTTTGGTGAAAGTATAAACAAAATGATTGTTGATCACTTACATTATTGTGTCTCTTTTTTTTTTTTTAGAAAACGTTTATAAGTATTGCACAAAAGACGGTGTATGGGAAAACTTTACAAATTTATTTGGCTTGACCGATTATAGAAGCTGTTATACACCAGAGTTAACTAAATTATTAGAAAAACTTGGCTCTTATGATGATACAAAGGTTTGAAAATACTCAAAACCTTTATTATGAATTAAATTAATTTTTGATAGCTTTTTTCGTGTAACACATTATGATAATGCCATTACAGAAGAAGATCAACATAGCCACCACAACGGGGATTATTGAAATTGTAGGATGTATTATATCTATAGTTTCCCTAATCATTTCACTTTGCANATTGTAGGATGTATTATATCTATAGTTTCTCTAATCATTTCACTTTGCATATTTATTAGACATAAGTAAGTGAAAAATGATTTATGTTCATATTACTTTTTACCACGTTTACGTTAATATACCTACATGTTTAATTAATAATATTTTAATCATCAAAGTAAATTGAAAATGCTGAAAAAGGAATATTTTTTAACAAAACATAAATCAAAAAATTTTTATGTGCGAGTTAATTTTATGACAGTAACATAAGAAAATAAAACTTAAAAGGATATAAAATTTGAGAATTAAACCATTCGTTAGGGCTGAAAAATATACTAATAGACTGAAGTTATTTATTTTGAAAAATTAAGTCTCTGTGAAATTATAAAATAACATCCACGGAGAAAATGTTTTGTTCTAATATACAAAATATTGACTAAAATAAATTATTATTTAAATTTATTATATTTTACAGTAAAGTAAAATATAATAAAAAAATTAAGAAGATTATTCTTGTCGTTTGAGAATATTCTCAAAAAAGATTACTACGATAATTTTACATCACTAACTGATGTTAAAGAATAACATTGTTCTTTCTTTTACTTATACAACGACGACAAAACATTTTTTTATTTACATCAATACTAATAAAAGCAACTGTCAATTTTTTTTTTTTATATACAGTAATCGATTGCTGTACAAACGGTTGGATACTCATTAACTTTTATGATCATTTGCTGTCTCTCGCATTCAAACAATTTATAATAAATTTCCGAAAACTACTCATAAGAAATATGCTTTTACTAAAAAATTCTTTTAATTTAAAAATACCGACTGAACCATAAAAAGAATGCATTACATAATTCGACAAAACAATTTATGCTCATCAATGACAGCTGAATATGATACTTACCTTTCACGAAAGTTAAAGTAATTGACATACCACCCATGATAAGATTTAGTGGAAATAACTGTTATTGCATTTACTATTAGTAAAAGAATTTCAGAAACATCATTAACTATAAATATCATGTTACCTTATCCACGTGGATAAGATACGAATGTAAAATACGGACGCGTGTTTCTCTTTTCTAAGATTTTAAATCATTCATACACTGTCGGTCTCTTTTAACCAAATAAATCTTAACTAAACATAAACCTTCACCCAAACGTGATAAAGTTATAATTTTAAATCATTTCAGAGGCCTTCTAGAGCAAAGGTTCAAAATTCACATGAATTTATTTGTTGCTTTATCATTGCAAATGATCATCAAACTTATCTTGAACATAGATAAACTAGATTTGTTTAAAATAAAAAAAGATATTTCATGCTATGTGGACTGCAATAATAAGACACATGTGGTAGAAAATCAAGAAAATTGGGTGCTTGGCATCATTTACACTGTAAATCATAGTTTTTTTAATAGTTAGCCATGTTAAGTAAAATACCACATATGAGCATTTTTTACGAAATTTTATTCTTATAACCAAATTATTCAAACTTAGATTACTAATAATTATAATGATTAATAACTATTTGTTATGATAAAAATCAAAACAAAATTTCGTTATTAGTGCTCTTACGTAGTATTACACTTTATCAATCAAATTGCAATTAAATAGTATTCATTTATATGTTATAGCCAATTGTATGCGAAGGTGCGCAAGTTATACTTGAATGGTCAAAAACAGCAAGTTTCATGTGGATGTATAATGAAGGGGTGTACTTGTATAGAATCATTAAATCCAGAGTGCTTAGAATAAACTCCATCAATTCACGCATGTATTTAGTTGGTTGGGGTGTGCCAGCTTTGATGACTTTAATGTGGTTATTGGTTACATTAATTTACTACGATAAATCTTCAAGCGTATGCTGGTGGGGTTATAGTCTTTTACCTTTTTTCTGGATACTTGAAGGACCAAGAATTGTGATTTTAGTTGTAAGTATTGAAATTTCACATGAAAAACACATATTATTATAATCAAAATTGAAGAGTTCCTCATAAATGTCTTATATAGCAAAAAAAATAATGATTCATTAACTTATTACAAGAAAAAATCATCTACTTACATACTTATCAAATCTTTAAAAATTAAATTACAAACACCAACGTGTTATTATTAAAAATTTTGTTAACGAATCTTTTAAATTAGAAAATAAGATGCTACCTTATTTTTATAGCACACCATGTAATTAATTATCACAATTACCACAAGTCACGTATATAAAAATGTGATATATAAATGCCTTTGCATTATATCAAAAAATGTATTAAATTTGTTTTATAGGTCAACTTCATAATACTAATGGTTGTGCTAAGGGAACTTCTAAAAAAAATTAAATCAAAAATGACACCATCAAATGAACTAGAAATAATAAGGTAATGATTTTGTAATAACAAATTAATGATAATGTTATAAATTTTATAGTATTTATATCTGAAAATTGTAATAATAGACATAGTATTTTTATGTTATAAAGGAAACGGGTTTCTATTGTTCTCATTGTTTGTAACAACTGACCTATATCCTTGCTTACTGATCACGCTATATAAAGTATCAATATTTTCTTTCTAAAAAATCAATTTTATATTACTAAAATAAAATAAAATGAATATTACAGAAATGTAAATTTTTTATATAAAATTGATTATCAATCCTAAGACATATTTATCTATGATAGCATGTGTAGAATTTTTATTATTTTTTTACTTTAAATTTAATTAATTTATTGTATTACTATTAATTTTTATTCATAATGTTATAGTGTACTACCTTGAGCCAAAAGCTTTTTTATAAAAGAATAAATTTCCATAAATTGAAAAGCCATAAGTTATAGCTCTTTAAAAATCGAATAATTGATAGTTATAACTTATAAACAATAGTTGTTCTTTTTTGGACATCTGATTAACTTTTAAGGGGATAGTAAATTACTGTCTTTTCTTTAATGTTATTATAAGTAATAAGATAAATCAATTATTCAAAATATTAATTTGATATCTATTTTTTAATGATATTATTTACTATAAGTTTCATAAAAAAAATTAAAAATAGTTAAGTTTAATAAAGAAACCATAAATAAAAGTACTAATTTAGTTCCAATTTTGTGATTTCTATTAGACTTAAAAGATAAAACTTTTTTACTTTTTTATAAAAAAATGTGAATGTTCGGTAATTCAAGATAATTATAATTTCGATATGCAATAACTTATGAATACTCGTAGTTACGTTTTATAAAAATTATGTTTTAAAAAAGTAATACATATGTATAATTATATTAAATTACCATTTAAAGATCACCAATTACTTTTAAATGAATTTCAGGAAAGTATCAAAAGCAGCAGTGGCTCTTGTACCGTTATTGGGCATATCAAATTTTATATTAGTTGTAATACCAGAACCACATTCCAGCAGTCCTGAACTATTTGCATTCTGGTCCTATTCAGCTCATATACTACACTCATCTCAAGGATTAATGGTGTCTATATTATACTGTTTTATGAACAAAGAAGTAAATGGCGTATTGAACCTCTTTATTTTACTATACTAAATTGTACTTGTACTTACAGATAAAAAAATCGTTTGATAAACGGATGATGCTGCAAAAAACACGTCGACATTTTGAAATGGATATGTCATAAAATGTTGAAAAATTTATGAACAATAATGTTATAGATATTTAAGAATAATGAATAATAAAATATTGTGTTTTGACTGATAATCAATATGTAAAAACTGTAAAATTATTGATAAAGACAACCTGAAATCCTACATCGCTATGGTTTTATACTAGTGACAAAATATCAAATATTTCTGTGGTCAGTTAAAAAATTTAGTTACCAAAACACCATATGGTTATTCTCAAAAATATACATTATATATTTTTGTATTATTTTACTTACTATCACATTGATTAATTATTATTAAATATTTTACTAAAAAACTCTGAATATATTAGTTTTCTGTTAGTTATGACTTTTAATAAATATTTATTAAATTTTTTTTTATTATGCATTTTATTACTTTTATTTGTTGTAAAATAAAACTAATCATTTAAAATTAAAATAATTTTGTATTATCTGTAATATTATTTATATATTGAGATGATCGTAAATGAATTGAGTTAATTTATTTAATTAATAAATTAAATTTTTACAATCAAAGATAAATTTTATAACTAAATACTCAGTAAAATTTTCAAACATAATTGTCAATGCTTTCATCGCATAAAACTCTAAAAACTATAAATTATAACCATCACATAAATGTTTTCTATGACTATTAGATGTAAGTTTAAACATTATATTATACAATATAATATTTATATAACATATTATCAAATAAAACTTGATTTAAGTTGTTATTTTTTTAGCTTTGATATGAAGATGAAATAATATTAATATTGGATTTTTTGATCTTGGTACTAGATCTATAGCAATGTTTAATTGATCACATTAATTATAAAATCTTTGGTCGATAAAGAAATTTTTGTGGTACTCCAATACAGTTTTATCGTGGACAAAAATATCTTTGATGTTTTAATATTTATACATTTAAAAGTTCTAACTATAATTTTTTTATCTGCATTAATGCTTATATTTATGTATATATAATCATTTTAAAAGTAACCAAAAAAAATTTTAACTTCAATTTATACTTGTTTACCTATTTCATATTTTGTATTAATTAGGATCTTCAAATTTTTTTAAGTCATCGACTGAAAACATTATGAATAAATTTATAGAATTGTAGAATTATAAAATAAATTAATAATGATTGTTATATTTTTGCTTTTTTGATTTTCACTATGAACTGTATTTTCATTACCAATATATCTCTTAAATAAAGAAAAACATCCCTGAATTGTGTTGTAGAAACCAATACAATTTTTTACTATAAGACTTTTGACTCGGAGGTCTCTAGTTTTATTTCCATTTTCGAGTACTTAATATTAAAAAAATTAAATTATTTAATGAGCGTCGTGGCGTTTAGTCACGCTCCATTTTTACCATTTCACACAAATAAAAAATATTACTTCATTGCTCACCTTTTTGTCCTTCGACCAATTTATTGAAAATTGTACGATTTAATTAAAAACTTGAAATTGAAAATATTAAAATCAACTTTTTTTAATGATATATTTTTAAAACATTTACATTTGAGGAAAAATGTATTCCAATTATTGCATTGTAGTGCTTATACTGTAGGAATGGAGTGAAGTATTAAATGAATGACTACAATTTTCTTTTAAAGCAAACTAACTGTTTAATGAACGTAAACGCTACATTTAGCATAAACAATACGTGGATAAATTTTTTTCAATCATTAAATTAGTAAACGCCAGCTAATTTTGACGATTGGTCTGATGTATCCTGAAGAATTACTAAGTACAGTGTTGGTTACTTACTTATCTTCTGTATATATGTATATATATATATATATGTACTATACATAAATTATATATGTAACAAAATTGTTAAAATTCAAACTACATGCGATGCTTAATAAATAACAAAAGAAAATTGAAAACTGTAATTGACTTCAACATATGAATGTTTTTTGAATAATAACTGAAAAATTTTGTACGAATGAATTTTTTGGTGCAGTCGCCAAAGTATAACTTATAAAAGGAATCATATATGATTTAACTCAAAATTTTGAATCATGGTTATCCTTTTAACTAAATTAATTAAATAAATAAATAAATTTAATCAATATTTCTCTTTGCTTAAGTACCCTACTAATGCTATTATTTTTTATATTTTAATTCATCATAAATTGGTTTTGAAATTAATTTCAAAGACAAAAATTAAAATTTGTAATAATTTAAAAAAGTATTTAAAATACTTGATACATATGTAATATAAAACGGTAGCACAGTGGGGTCGCGGCATAGTGGAGACATTGCATAGTTGGGTCCAGATAGATTTAATCTGACAGTG